TGTAGGAATTGGATCTGGGGGCTATGAGGGCAGGGAGGAAAAAGAAGACCATAAAAGTTTTGTGAAGGGTCTATCCAGTGACGGTTCATCAGAAGCGTAAGTGATGTCAAATTAACAAAACCTGCTAGTGTTTATAATTAGCGTTCAGTTATTTGAACAATTTTAACTGTTAAAGGTAATATTGTTATGTAGAGTTTTTTGTCTTCATATACACTCATTGAGTCATCATGTGGTTAAAACAAGAACTAGCTAAAACTTGATGATTGCATATAATAAAAGGATTTGGTAGTCTTCTCTTAAAGATCAATTGTATAACAGCTTGCTTCCCAGTCAGGAGACTACTTGAGCCAAAGAAAAAGCAAAAGGGAAACTACTAATCCTTCTAGTATTGTATTTCTTATCTACTTAATTGAAATAGTAGTTAAATTGATCAAATTTTTTATAGGTTTCTAGTACAGTGGATGTTCTTCCTTCCATGGATGTAAATAGATGCATGTCATTGAAGAAAATATAAATTAGATAAGCTCAGGCTTCTACTTTTCACCCTTCTGCTAGAATTACTTTGTTTTGAAGAGAACATAGTTTATAGTGGATTGAAGTTTATTCAGATGAAGTCAACATCTAGTTTGATGGTCTTTTGTATCATCTAATTCTATGCTTTTCGATTTTGATATGAAATGCCACTGTGTTTTGGTCTTTGTTGATGTATGTATTTTTTATTTTTTTGCAGTGTGAAGCCTCCCAGTCAAATTCCTTACCCTCTCTCCATTGCTATTGTGCTATTGGGATGTGCTTTAGTGTTTTCACTGATTGCCTTTGCAAAAGGTGGACCTTCATCACTCTTAACAGCAATCGCAAAGTCAGGCTTGACTGCTGCTTTCACATTAATATTTGTTTCTGAAATTGGAGATAAGGTAACTAATTTATCATAAAAAACTTTATGGATTCTTGATCTTTTCTCTCCGTAATTTAAGCTATTAAACTGTAGTTCAAATTGTGATTTGCTGAGTGCACATGTTTCTTCAACTACCTCTTTTAACAAATTGTTACTTTTTTTTTTTTGAGGAATTGATAAGCTCTTCTTTTGGTAAGCTTCAACCAATAACATCTGTCTCACTTGGAATTAGTTTGGTTCTAATATAAGGCTTGGATAACCCGACTAAGAGGAAAGGGGTAAGCTGTCAATATCTAGATAGAGCATTTACCGACAGAAAGATTTATAATTTCTGGCAGTCCGTGCATATATCCTGCACTTTGGCACCCACATTAAATTATATCCATCAAATTCCTTATTAGCTAGCTCACCAGTTAATTATCCAAAATATTTTGTCATTTAAAGCATTAATTAATCACAACTCACTAGTGCTATGTTTAGGGCCCATTTTTTTGAAACTGGGAAAAAAATAAGCTCCTATCATTAATCCTTTTAAACTAAACATCTGACCCAAATTGAGTACAATGATGACCTTAACCAATGATGGATTGATTAGGAAAGTTCATGTTGCAGAAGCCAAGAAGTTCGAATAAGGCTTATAATTATTTTAAGAATCAATATTAGTTGTCCAGTCTATCTCTTTTTTTTTCATGGCCTATTGCTCCATTTAATTGCCATGTTTGATTGAGTGGATCTGACTCTTCTTGACTGACACTATTGAATATAGGAAATTTTCATTTATTTCTTAAGCTCATGATATATTGTGCAAACCTTACGAGAGATTAAGTTATATTTTTCATCTCTTGACCAGACATTTTTTATTGCTGCACTCTTGGCCATGCAATACAAGAAAGGACTGGTATGTTCTCCCCTAATTACTCCTCTGTGCGTGTCACTTGCATTAGGTTCCTACTCAGTTCTAGATTTTGTTGTTTTGGATTAATTTTTTTAATGAATATAAATTTGGTATTTAATTTTTGACTTACTCTTTTGGATATAAAAAAAAATAGTCATTTGTGCCACGCAAAAACTGGAAGGTGATCTTCCAGTTCTGTAATATTTTGTTATATTTATTGTCACATTTAATCATTTTGATACATATAGAAAGAATCTATTGGTGATATGAGAAATTACAGCACAGTCACCATCATATTAAAATGCTATAGCTTCTTGCCTACCTCGGCAATGTGGATTGCAATGGTAAAACACTCCTAATCAGTGTTGTGATGAATGTTCATCCTTTAAACAACTTAATTAATTAATCTTCATATTATCATGCTTCAACTTCTAACTTATTTTAATGGGGTTGCTTCCATGAAACACATTTGTGATGAGAATCTTCACAGACCCATTAATGTACCATAATACTGTATTATCCTTGAAAAAAGTTTTTTCCTTTGTTATTTTGAGTATATATTGCAGATTTTATTGCATTTTGTGTGGTTCTTTGATGATAAATGTTTATTAAATCATTGGGAAGGTTCTGTTGGGGTCAATGGGTGCTCTTTCTCTTATGACAATCTTGTCAGTGATAATTGGACGTGTCTTCCAATCAGTTCCTGCTCAATTCCAGACAAGTAAGTTCTTACTCCTGGCATCTACCATCTGTTATCATTCTTTGATGATTTAAACATTGCAATAATACAAGCACCCTGGCTACTACATAGTAACACTAACACTGCAATCATATGCTGATTTCCTGTGTAATCTTTGGACAGATATAAACATGCCATTGAATTTGATTTAATTCAACCGACAGCTTCAACATGTGCATGTAGCTATATACATTTCCCCTTTTGCTATGCTAAATACTCCACGCAGCCTTAACCATTATTAGTTCCCCTGGTCTGAGATATTCATGATATATAATCCCTTAAGCTAAGTATATTGACGAGTTCATTAACTCTGGAATCTTATATTTTTCAAAATGAATTGCAGACTATCAGTTATTATTTATTTTTTATATTTTAAAGTTTCTGATGACTCCATTATTCTTTGATTTATTCTGCAGCCTTGCCAATTGGAGAATATGCAGCAATAGCTCTTCTTGTGTTCTTTGGCCTGAAATCTATAAAAGATGCATGGGACCTTCCACCAACTGTAGCAAAGAAAGGTGGTGAGAGAGGCTCTGAACTAGATGAATTTGTCGAAGCCGAGGAACTTGTGCAAGAAAAGGTAATCATCTTTCTTCTGTGAAAGGAAATGAGTGTGCTGTTTCACATGCCTACTGTTATTAAAAGAAAAGCAAAATTAATAGAGAATTCTATTTTTTAATGTATTCAGGTCTCAAAACCGCTCTCTAATCCACTTGAAGTTGTCTGGAAGTCATTCGGCCTTGTATTCTTTGCTGTAAGCATCTCTGAAATTCTTTTTAAAAATGACATTTTATCTCCCAAAGAAAAGTCTTCTCTTTTGGTTATTTTGGATAACTCTCCATGAATTTGCACATTGCTCATCGATGTCAACTGAAACAAGAAAAATAAAAAGAAAAAAAACATGGCTTTGTCTGTCAGCAGACTAGATATACTGCCGGAGCACTTTGTATTTGTTTAATGATGTGGAACTAAAACTGTAGAATAAATATATATGGAGAATTTAGCTTTGTATGCCTCCATGTGCCATCAGCAATTATTTTTTGAAGTTATATTTGCATATGTTGTTTATTTCTTCCAATAAGTGTTATTCAAACATAAAATATTCCAATTGCTCCCAGGAATGGGGAGACCGTTCAATGCTTGCAACAATTGCACTCAGTGCTGCACAGGTGCAACTTTACTTATTTTAGTTCTCATGATTTCTTTTTATTTTTCTATCCTGTAATTCACAATTGTTCAATGCATGCCTCTACAGTCACCATGGGGTGTGGCAAGTGGAGCCATTGCTGGACACCTACTTGCAACATCAATTGCAATTGTGGGAGGAGCATTTCTTGCGAACTACATTTCTGAGAAGCTGGTAAGACCGGAAATTTTTCCTTTGCTAGTATGATATTCAAAGACTTGCCGTTTGACTTCCATGCAATTGTCTTATCTTCAATCAGGTTGGTTATTTGGGTGGAGCACTTTTTCTAGTTTTTTCTGCGGCCACATTTTTTGGAGTTTTCTGATAAGAGTATACAGAGCCTAGAGAGAAAACAGAGGCTAGTTTCCGGTGCAATTGTTGTGATGCAATGCCATCTGTGGACAGAGAATTTGTCGTTAGAGAAAATGAGAGAAAAAATGCCCTAGATCTTCTTATGGGGCTCTTAAGAGAAGTGTTAGTTCTTAGAAGCCTCATTGGAAGATTGTCCATTAAATGTTATTCCTTACTGCATTCTGGAACAATTTGAACAAGGGGTTTATGTTAGAAATATTGGCTCACTTAGATGAATTTTGTGTACTTTAGCTTTTTGGGCCGTAATTGATATATTTTTAAGGATAGTTGATGTACTTTTCTCATTGATGTTTCTCTGCTTTGAAATGAAAGACTTGGAAAGTTTTGATGAATGTTTGGGAGTCCTGTAGTTGCTTGGTTCTGGGTGAGTGAGACTGGAAAATAGACAACTACAGAGTGGGTTCATATGCTTCTGTTCCTTTTCATCTTTTGTACAAAAGCAGAGGATATATGATTATTGGTGTTTCAATATGGCTCAAATTCGATCTATTTGGTCTGGCATTCACATGGCCTTTCTTCTAATGATTAGCAATCTCTTCCAGATTTAACAATATGTTTCCTCACCTTATTTCTTGCTTTCGTTTTGTTTATGTCATGTGCATCCTGCACGCTACTCAATTTAGTTAACAAGGAACACTAGTCTAAGAGGCAATTAAATGTTAATCATATGCTACATTGCCAGTGCTTTTATCAACTTTTTATCAAAAGCAAAGCAATGGACATGGCAAACAAGTAAAAACCAAGGTTCTACTTAGATTTTTTTTTTTAAAAAATTTTGGAATTTAGAAAATAAGTATTTTAAAAAAGGAGAGTGAGAAGGGGACAAAAGGCACTCGTCAAATCTTGTTAAGTGAACGGTCCAGAAATGGCCACGGTACCAAATCCTTGTTCCATTTCCGACGAGGAAGTTCACCAAAAACACCACAGTAAGCCAAGGGCTCTCAAAACAGAAACAAGAAAACAAGCTCGTGTCAATGAATCTGCTGGTTTGCCACTATTACATACCCAAAACAATGATAGCACCATCATCATCATCAACAGTGGCAGTCACTTCTCCTGGTGGCCTAATCTCCAGTAGGGTATATAGACCAAGAACCGCGCCAGCAAAGGTGATGTTACAGCAACAACAACAAAGACCAGCAGCAAGAATTCTACACATTGTTGGTTGGAGATCACCATTAGAATCAATTTGGGCAGTAAAAGCAGCAGCATCAGGGGGAGTCCCACTTCCACCATTGGACTTGACTGAGGAAAACATCGAACTTGTCTTAGCTGACGCTCGCGTGGAGGCAAGTATCTTTTGCCATCAATCTCTCTTGTATATAGTTTGTTCATCTCAATTACTAATCTTGGTAAATTTATCATACCTTTGCAATTTTTTATGTATGAAATCGGTGTCTGTTTTGGCAGCTTGCTCAGCTTTTCGACACTTCGGTTGGCATAACAGGTGACTCCTCTTAAGGTACATTATGACTTTTATTTTCTGCAGCTATAAACTCGTTTAATACATTTTTGAAAGTTTTAAACTGGAAATACGTTTAGGACAAGTTGAACTAGCTGAATTGGATGGACCCTTTGTGAAGATTAGTCTCAAAGGTCGATTTTGGCATAAACGTTCCACAGTTGTAGCCAGGGTTGGAAATTATTTGAAGCAGAGAATCCCTGTAAGTCAAAAATTTGTTAGCGTAAGCTTCAAAGCCTGTATGGTTCATGCCAATTTATGTTGAGAAAGTGTTTATCCTTCGCTCAGGAAATATTGGAGGTTGATATAGAAGATGAGAAACAATTGGATGACAGCCCTGAAAACTTTTGAGATGCTCAATGCCCAGGCTATTACAGAAGATGAGAAACAATTTGATAACAGCCCCTAAAGAGTTTTACGATGCTCAATGCCCTAGCAGTAGGGTGTTCAGTTTAAGTGTCGTGTTTTTACAGTTCAGTGGATGCAAATCTGGATTAAGGAGTGAAAGAATGGCTGCAATTCGTTCAGAAATTAGAAGGGTAGAGATTTTGATGAAACTTCTATCTTCCGTTTCATTTTAAAAGTTTTTCTTCCTCGCATTTTAGCTGCTCTAGCCTTTCTGAAGGTAAGAGAACATGCCTTGCCTTAAAATATTACTTGCAAAATTTCTAATCTGGCTGAATTTTCTAAGATTAATTAGTATTTTCCACAAGAAAACTTTCTGATGGAATACCAGTACTTTAGTTCATACATATTAACATAAACATCCAATACAAGTCACAAGGGAACCTTCTCTATGGTTCAGTCAGTAAAAAAAAAAGAGAAGGGCTTGAAAGCATTTAGTAATACTCGGAGAAGAGCACTATACATTGAAAGTTCTCAAAATTCCAAGAATGGGCATAGCCCACTGTGTCACACCATATAATAGGATGGAAATTACATTTCTTCTGCTACTAAACAAATGTCCGAGTACAATAACAAATGAATCGTTGCTACTCAAAAATTTATAGCAAAACTGGGTGCTTGATAAATATATGGTGCTCCTAAAAAAATGAGAGGGCCGCGGTTAACTCCGGAGGAAGTATTGGACTGAGGGAAAGAGAACTCTTATCACTAGTTGCTTCTTTCTTCTCCCATTTCATATTATCTCCTTTCATGGCAATTGACTCAGATCATTCTTCTTGACATTGCTGGGATTGAAGCCTACCGTCTGAAAGTGATTCAACAATACGTTTTTCAAGTCTTCTTGCCCCTGGACCAGGTCTCAAGATATGGGCATCCCCCCAAACTGAACATGTGCCATTGTCAGGCTCACCTAAGCACCATCCACCTGGTACAACTTTGCCAGGGCTACGTTTTAAAATTTCTTTGTCGATACGGTCAAGTACTGGATCATCAAACTGGAACTGTGTCACAAAGGCAGCTCCACTCTGAATCATTGCATCAAATTCTGCAGAATTCATTCGGGGAGGCTTCTTCGTAGAGGATTTGTTGAAGGCTATATACTGTAGGTTATGGTTTATCACAGTTCTCTTGAATTGATCAGAGTTACAAAGGGCAGTAGGGAAATAATTTGTGAATGAATATGGCGTGTTTGCAAAATACATCAGCAAAGTCCTTGGAAGATTGTCTGTACCCAGGATGCAGAACTCGATGAAACTACGAGTTAACATTGTAAAAGATGAACCTGCAAAAGACCAGATCTCTACTTTTACTTTCACAATTTTCTTTTGCATTGCTTCGCCATGCCGGCAGAAAAACTTCTCAGCCAACAAAATGGCTAATATTATTTTGTGTAACTAGAACAGTTATGTATAACCAACAAAGGAAGTGATCAAGTGAGAGCTTACTGGTTCTTTCAAAGGCCATAAAAAAGTAATAGATTGGGCATCTAAACTTGGTAGAGGATGGAATCAAAATAGCTCTTGTTGTCTACAATAATGATCCTTGTAGATATGTTCTACATGGGCATTTCGCCCCTACTAACATTTTCCCAAGGGAAGGGGGATCCTCAACCTACTTATTATACCTTTAATGACGTACAAATATGCGTGAAACCATATGTAATCTCCTACAACAGTCACATAACATTTTTCAATATACTGCAAATGGATAGTTTTATCAATTGAGTTACATGGCAAGATGGTAGCAAGGGTTTCTTTCAGAGCTGAAAAGATAGCTCACAGTGTACCTAAGGCTAATAAATGCAAGGAAAGTTTCTTTCTTCTTTTTTCCTTCGCTTTTTTCTTTTTAGCAAAGGAAATTGCAATGAGTTTGAAATTAACAAACTTGAAAATGTATGATGGAATTAGTAGGTGATAGCACATTGAGCCATTTACCGTGGGATCCATCCTCACAGTTTTGCTGACAAAACTGCCTTACTTTATGCACGTAGCTCAGGCCCTGCTACATAAATGTAAAGAGGCCTATGATTTAAGTGCAATTTAAATGCATAGAAGAATCTTTTCAATTTATAAACAAGAATGTTGCCAGCAATACACTTGAGCAGTCCATAATATATTCAATAGCTTCACCAAGCAAATAATGAAATTTAAAAAAAGGCAAGGAGGATGTCTCTAAGTTCATAATTATTCACATTCCCTTTTTTATTGCTTTGCCTTCTCTCCCCCTCACACTTTAGTTCTACAAAATTTCCTGTCCCTATAAAATAGGCTGTGGGACACAAGCGTTCTTCAGTGGACTAAACTTGCTTCCTGCTGTAGCTCTTCCTATCCCTTCCCTACTTTTCTCCAAACTGTATCCCTTTATGAACCTGGATTGAAATTGATGCATTCTGTATGGAGACTCTAGCTCCTGCAAGCATCCTCAACACCACGAGGAAACCACCCTTAACTTACCAGGTGGGATCCATAGTCTAACTTGATTTTCTGAATTCAAACCCTCTCTCTAGTTCACCAGATTGCTCTCCAGTCAAAAACTGAAGTCTCACATGCAACTAATATTTGATTTAGTTGATGTTCATTGCATCTCCTCCAAGACAGTAATTAGATCAATAATTATAAGACCAGGTGAGGAGTAAAAGTTGGTTTCAAGCTGAGAGGTCCTTGAGAATTACACTCCAGAAATGACCACCTTCTAGCAATTATAGTAGGTGATCTAAAGTTATGAACCAATATAGGATCATGCTGAGTGTATGAACCAATATAGTATCATAAGCTTAGTGCCTCTAAGTCCAAGAAATAGTAAGATGATTACTGCATTCACCATAACTACACAATTTTATGATCTCACACAAATGTATAAAACTATATATTCAAATCACATTCTTAATCATCTCTGTTTTTGCAGGTCCACTCTAAATCAAAGCTATCTTTGTTCATTATCCATTAACATCAGCTACTCCACTAATTACGAATGTACACAATACACGTGCATTTCACATTTGCTCCAATATTTAGCAAATCAGTTTTTCTTGGTCACCATTAAAAATGAAGGGCAGGAAGTGCCGAAAAACAAAACAAAACGAAGTCAGATGTAAACACATACCTGAAAACAACCTGAAAGCATTAGGCAATTCCCGCTTCTGAGAAGCATAAAATATCTCATGCTTTTCCAAAAGATAAAGCCCTGTATCAACAATTATCGGTCTCAATCTCTTGGACCTACAATAAGTAACACCCCAACACATAAGACTAATATTAATCAACATTCATCAACTTAACACCTCTTCTAACGAATATACTACTTCGTTTTTGTATCCGAATGTGCATTTTGCAAAAATAGCACAAGTTGAAATGGAGTTAACATACTCTTTCCAGCCAATATAACTGGTGTGATTCACAAAGTTAAGATCTTTTGGCAAGTATGACAAAATGTGAAGAAGATCTGCACATTCCACAAATACCCAGAAAAGAAAATCCATCAAAAAACAAAACCAAACACTTGATCCCAAAAAAAAATCCCAAAAGAAATTTTTTTGCTTACCATCTTGAGTAACAAGCGGGTAATCGCCGGTATTGAGAGAGATAAACCAATCCCAATTCGAGGCCAACCGTAGCAAAACGGAGGCACCATGAAGAGTAGAAGAGATTGTGGAGGACCCTCTTGGGTAGACATAATCAGCTTTCCCTATAACATCGACATTCTGGGCAGCTTTAAAAATGGGCACTGATTGGACTGTAACGGCCAATCGGTCACGTTCAGTCTGCGGGCAGACAGGTCAAGGTGAAGTAGTAATGGTTTCTCGGGTGATAGGAAGCGAAAAGGAGCCGGAGGATCCGAGCCGAGTCGCCGGCAGATCCGAATATGAGGTAAGCAACGGAGGGAGGGGCGGGTCCGGAGGGGATCTCGGTTGGGAGATGGGTCGGTCGGGGAAAAGGTCGGGTCGGGTCGGATTTTGGTAAACGATTGGGAGGGTGGATGATGAGGGGGAAGGGATGGAGATAATAAAGAGGAAAAAAGATGGCTAAATATAATGAAAGAGTGGATTTTCGTGTTTGGGGCGTGTAATGTTCGGGAGGCCGTTAGGGGCAAATGGTGGTGGCAGCGTCGGTTGTTGGTGGTGGTGCATTATGGTGGCGAAGGTTTTGGGCCTGGCTTTGGCAGTTGTGGTTGTGCCGGAGAAGTTGATTTGAGACAGTTGGCTCGGTATGCTTTTCACCTCTTAGTAACAAGGCCCTGTTTGGCAGGCCAATATGGTGGTTAGGTAAAGCAGTCCTAGTCGAATTTAAGTATTAAAATAAATATTCATATTATTTTAATCTGCATATAGTGTACATCATTAAAATTGTTAGAAATTATTTAATTATTCATCACATAGAGTTGGAATAGATCGTCACTAATTTAAATTAATTATACATGCGTAAATAGAAGGAAATTGTGAAGCAGTTTGTGAAAGTGAGGGAACTAACAAACAGGGAATATTGTTATTGATTGGTTTGACTGACCTTGTGTTCGGTTAATAAGTAAATAATAAATAAAAGGCTCCTTTAGTGAATGAATCTTGTTTACGTGTTGGTTTTGGCTTTCTCTGTTTCTCGTGCCTTGTCATCGTTGCTACCAAGCGCCCGATATGAGTTCTTTGAAGAAATGGAACATAATCTTTTATTCCTCTCACTCCCTATGAGAAAGAAATTCAAGGAATATATTCAGTGCAAAGGACTGTTAAGGTCTTTGCTTTAATAAATAAATCAATCTCAAATTAAATATGTCCACGTATGAAAATGATGCTAGTTTTACGTCAATTAGTCAATGTTCATATTTGTTACTGTAAAATGACATAAAACCTTATTGGCTCTTTTTTTAATTTTTTTTTTCACACAAATTCTTTTAGAAATTATTTTATCAACCTTATACAATGGTAACTTAGTATTTTTCTTTTTTAAAAAATTACTCAGTAGAATAGAGATTGAAATCACCTTTTTATATTTATTTTACAATAAATTAAAATAGAATAGTATAAGAACAAAAAAAAAATCAATCATAAATGTTATTCAGTGATCGAACGGTCACCGTTTTATATTTATTTTACAATAAATTAAAATAAAATAGTATAAGAACCAAAAAAAAGAAAATAATCAATCATAAATGTTATTCAGCAATCGAATGGTCACCGTTTTATATTTATTTTACAATAAATTAAAATAGAATAGTATAAGAATCAAAAAAAAGAAAATAATCAATCATAAATGTTATTCAGTGATCGAATGGTCACCGTTTTATATTTATTTTACAATAAATTAAAATAGAATAGTATAAGAACCAGAAAAAAAAAGAATAATCAAACATAAATGTTATTCAGTGATCGAACGGTTGAAAAAAAGTAGGAAAAAGAATCATTTGGAAGCAACTCTTTATCAGAGCCAGGTTTCGATCCTGGGACCTGTGGGTTATGGGCCCACCACGCTTCCGCTGCGCCACTCTGATTGTTGGTTTATCGGCTCCCACTATTTTTACTGGTCTTTGAGTCAGAGAGTTTGAACAAATCTAAAATATGCTCAAGAGTTGGAATGAGGGTCATTGCAACAAGAAAAAGGCCGGAAGAGCTCGAGAGAGAAGACAGAAATGGAAGCCGAAAAGCAAAGTGAGTGGGGTCCAATAGCATGGGCTCACCTCAGTTCAGTCCGCAACCAATCACCGTTAATCCAGTGCATCACCAACTTCGTCTCCATGGATCTGACAGCCAACACTCTCTTATCCGCGGGTGCATCACCCGCCATGCTCCACTCTTCTAACGAAACCCCAGACTTCACCCCTCAAGTCCACGCGCTTTACATCAACGTAGGAACACTCTCCGACAACTGGCTACCGGCCATGAAGCTTGCGGCTGAGATAGCTTCCAAGTTTAAAAAACCCTGGGTCCTAGACCCTGTCGCCGCTGGTGCTTCCTGTTTTCGGTTAAAGGCGTGTTTGGATCTTATCTCCCTTAAACCCACCGTTATCAGAGGCAACGCCTCCGAAATCATCGCCTTGGCCAATGCTTCCGTGGGGTTCACCAAAGGCGTGGATAGCTCTCACGACTCAACTGACGCCGTCGAAGCCGCGAAATCCTTGGCTAATTCCTGTGGTGCAGTCGTGGCGGTATCAGGGGCCGTCGATATCGTCACCGACGGGAATCGAGTCGTCGGAGCTCGAAACGGAGTGCCGATGATGCAGAAAATCACGGCCACGGGATGCGCTGTCACCGCGTTGATCGCCGCTTTCGTTGCGATTGATCCGTTGCAGGCTTTGGAAGCAACCGCTTCCGCGTTGGCCGTGTTCGGCGTGGCCGGTGAGATAGGGATGGAGATGGCGAGAGGTCCGGCCTCGTTGCGGATGCACTTGATTGATTCTCTCCACGGACTTGATCAAACGGCCGTGATTTCTCGGGTTAAAATCACCACCTCGTAAAAAAAAAAACACACATTTTTGCCCATATCTTCTCCTTTTCTTTTAGTGTTTACGTTCAAGAGTTAGCAAGAGCAAATTTCAGATATTATAATGTAATTACAAACTATGTTTTTGTTTATTTAAAATATTTAAAGTTAAATAATCCACGTTTAAAATGTGATATATGATTTTTCATTTTAATATATTAAGAATATTAATATTTAACAATTGGCCATCTGTATATATAGACGGAAGGAGAAATATTTTGAACATTGTAATTGTTACATTGAAAGATTGAAGCTGGGATGGCAGACCAGGTTCATGTTTTCACACCAACAAACACATAATTTTCAAGACAACAGGGCCAATTTTTAGTATTGGAGATGGACAGTGATCCTCAGCAATGTCTCAGCACCATCGGTGACATGTTGACCTGGTGGGATAAGTGGTCGAACCTCAGCAAGTCCGCAAGCATTCTTAAACTTGCCTGTTCCACCTGTCACCGATACATGCGACATGGTGCTTCCGATCTTGTACACCCCGTAGAAGTTGAGGTTGTCGTTGTATTCACCGCCTTCGATCATGGCTGTGAATGCCATCATTTGGGTTGTTCCATCCGCGGAGCTAGCAACGTAAACTCCTTGAGCCTTCCCTATTGCCTGTGACCCCAAATCAGGGCTGGCAGTGAGTATGTCATCGATGACGGTGATGGTTCCGAAGCCTAGTCCCAAGCCATCTGGTCCTAGAGGGATTTGGGGGTTACCGTTTTGGTTTTGATTGCCGGCGAATGCTGTACCAGCTAACCCAGTTCCTAGTGGCAGGCCGTTGATGCCATTAACAGTTGGAATAGCACCATTGGCATTGGGGATTGCAACTCCACCTTGTGGAGGCAGGAATCCAACCGGTTTAGCAAAAGGTACTTGGCCACTGTAGATGTTTCCTAGTAATCCAGTTATTGGCCTAGCCGTGGGACTACTTCCCCCAAGGATATCATGCATGTAGAACTCAAGAATGGGTTCTTCGGCTGTAGCTGCTGCCGGGTTAACTGCTGCGAAACATGTCCCGATGCACACTGTAGCAATTAGCAACGTGATGAAAAGCGGAGATTGTAGCTTGAACATTTTTTTAATGTTTGCCTGAGGGCCTTTGGTTCTCTAATGAATTGCTGGAGTGAGGCTTTTGAATTTGTACGCCAGACAGTATGATGGTTGCTCATTAAATAGAGAGGATAACAGCAGATTATGGAGTTGTTTGGAATGGTGAAGTGGTTGGCGTTACATTAGTCATCAGGAGCTAGTCGTTCTGCTTTTCTGTTCTTGGTGTATTAGTTAACATTTCCATGAATAAAAAAATGTTGGCAGTACCAAGCTTAGAATGGGATGCAACGATTCCTGATTGTTTATACTGATACTGAAAGTTGAATTTTAGAAGTTTAGAGGGGTGCATCTTTTATTAGTAGTATTTCTAGTTAAACATCAGTAAGTTAAAAACAAATTATAATCTTATGGCCTTTATTCATGGCCACTTCTTTATTTTTCTGGCACACAAGCTTCATGCTAGTTCAGTTCTTGTTAAATGCACGAAACTTGCCTTTGACTCAGCCATATCATTCTAACTATGATTTTGCATCTATTATGGTTATCAGAACAGATTATGACTCGACCTTTTTAACGGGTGCTAATTTTTCTTGTTCACAGAAAAATGCAGCATTATGCTTGGCATGGATTATTATCAATGTACTGTTTTTCAGTTGCAAGAAACTTTTTGGTGTTTTATCACCACTGCTCATTGGTAAAACTAATTGTGGTGGCTATCAGCAGCAACCTCTTCGAGTTTTTGACATCTGAACTTCAAATTTTGTTATTAGTGTCAATCATGTAGGTCGTTCAATATTCTCGAAGCTTTGCTACTAGGATAAGTTAGCTAATTTGTAATCATGTTTTGGCCTGAGGCACGTTGAGTCATGCCAACTTTCTGGTTGTTTCCTTGTGGCAATCCCGAGCCTTTACATTGAACAATGCAGGCATGAAGAACCATGATAACAGGTTGTCTGAAATCCAACCGCATATAATTTAATTATGGATTGCAGGTTTTTAGCCTGCATAATCTTTCATCTCATGGATTTGGTGGAAAAAGGTCCTACGGTACTGTGGAGTGGTTGGCTGTAGTTGATCAAGTGGAGAAGAGAATAACTTCACCAGAATTCTTAAGTTGGACCCTGTCTGACTTGGTTGTTGCAGGATATGCTTAGACTTAAGCTGGTCGAAAACTCCTATTTATCATAATTAGTGCACTAAGAAGTAAACTTTCAACCTTTGGCGGTTAATAAGAAGCCAACACGTTCTTGTCTGATGTTTGTAATTGCGAGTATAGAGGATGCTGCAGATTTTTGCATTTCTTTTAGTGGTCATCTGATTCCTCATATTCCATAGATGAAGCAGTGGGTAACGAACAGCAAAAATATTATATCCATTGTAGTTTTCCAGCAACATGTATTATATTTTGGGTGAAAAAGGTTGTAGATTTTGTGACTGGAAATATCTTGTTGGATAAAAGAAACTACAGACTATATATGCCAGCAAGCATTTGACAGAAAGAATATTAACTCATAGTCTGGAAACACTCTCTGTAGCTTATATGGACTAGAATTCTCAGCAATGACTCTGCACCATCAATGACATGCTGACCGGCAGCTATGAGTGCCCTTACTTCAGCGAAGCCACATGTGTTCTTGAACTTACCGGTTCCGCCAGTCGCTGACAAACACGACATGGTGCCACCGATCTGGTATATACCATAGAAGTTAAGACTATCCCCATGTTCCCCTCCTTCAATCAATGCTGTAAATGCCATCATTTGTGTTGTTCCGTCTGCTGAGCTTGCTACATATACTCCTTGAGCTTTGCCTACAGCCTGTGATCCCAACTCAGGACTGGAGGTCAATATATCATCAATAACAGTCATTGTTCCAAATCCTAGTCCCAAGCCATCTGGTCCTAACGGATGAAGATTTACGTTTTGATTATTTAGTTTTCCAGCAAAAGCTGTACAGGCCTGGCCAGTCCTTAATGGACTACCATTTTTGCCATTAACAGTTGGAAGGGCACCATTAGCGTCGGGGATAGTTACCCCGCCTGCTGGGGGAGGAATCCTAATTGCTTAGCAAAAGGTACTTGGCCACACTATATATGTTCCTTAGCAAGGCTGTAACAGGCCTTGCTGTTGGGCTGCTCCCGCCAAGAATGTCATGCATATATAACTCAAGAATCGATTCTTTCCCAGTTGCTGTTGCAGGGGGAAAACGAAGTCAATAATCCATTGAACATCTTTACAACCAAGGATGAAAATGTGGAATCAGTCTGCTGATAGACTGCAGGCTTGGATCCTAATGTAGAACTAGTAGATTGGGCGGAGTTGTTAAATTTTGAAATGCAGTGAAGCTGTTGAGTTACACTGATCATGGAAATGTAGACCATTCTGCTCTAACCATTGCTCTACTGCATTAATTTCTTTATATTTGATTACAAAGGACAAAACGTATGCATTGAAGAGTGGGTAGGATGCATATATCTGATGGTTTCATCATAGCCCAATCTCCAAATTTGGCAAATTGTCATTATTATGTCAAATTGTGATTACAACTAAACCGGTGTCATTCGACAAGCAGTATAAAATGCCCACTGGGTTATGAACCTTGACTAAGGATATATACTAGAGAGCAATTCTATCATTCACAGTTGAGGTGAGAAGGCTAGTAATCATTAATAATTCAAAGCATTCATTCATTATAAAATCATGATAGATTTCTGAATTCTTGCTTGTTTTATACATAAGCTTGAAGCTCAAATTGGACAAGTAGAACCGGCCAATAAAAAATGAGGGAAAGAATGAAGAAATACAACAATGGAGAAGTACAATCATAGTTGCCAAACAAAATCACGGCAAGGTTGAATCATTTATCTGCTGCACAGACTCCTCATGGTTGATGACCCTGGGTTGCTTCACAACGGGGGCTATCAACTTCCACACTGTATAAACAAAAAGAAAGAAAGGATAAGTATTAGTCTTTTTCTCCATAGTCGTAGCTCACAGCCTGGTTCAGGTTCATATCTTTAACTTGATATGCTTTCACTCCGAAAATTTCATGTGAAAAGCTTTTAAAAGTAAATTGTTATTAAATATTGGCTGTAAGTCAAGACTTAGTTGGCCTAAAATGCTTCCATCAAAGTGCTTGTTTATTAGCCAAATTGTGCACAAGAAATTACCTATAGAATTGGCAAAGAATATAATTAAAATAGGGGATGAAGGGAGTATCTTTGATGCTGCTATAGTTTTGTTTGGTCACTTCCAGTTGACTCTATAATCATATAATCTCAGGCAGATAACTTTTAAAAAAACTGAAGGCAACTAGGGAAGTAAACCTCATCTAGTTGCAAAAAGGCAGAAGTGATCTGAAGGGGAAGTGGAGAACATGAAGTCACTTACTGTAGATCGTGGCTGCAAACCACTCATTGATGATTTTCACCCATGTACTTGTCCAGCCAACATCAATGCTCCATCTGATTGATTGTTGTAAAGTGAGTATATGCATATGCACTTGAAAAGTATTCTCAGAAATTTTTGTAAGTAATATACTACTCACTTCCTTGCTGAATTTTCCAGGTTCCAACTGATGAATAACATTGCAAAATACATGGCCCCCAAGGAGAATATCATGTGGAAAAATCCATAGTTATAACGGATATCATCCTCTAGTTTCACCTCATCTTTGCGAAACTGGAAAAGCATAAGAGCTGCTCAATATTTCTTATCAAAACTGATAACTACCAAAAATAAGGGTTAAACTTTAGCTGTATAAGGTTGCCTTTTTTTAAATCATCTCAAATAAGACACACTAAATAGCTGTGTGGCATTCATCAGCAGATACTCTTCAAATCAATGCCATTGAAAACACCAATGTTCAGAAATACTTTTGCACCTTCATTCTCAGCATGCAGCAGAAGGTTGCAAGAATAGTTTATTTTTCCTTCCGAAATGCCTGAGAACTGTGTCTTTATTTACATTGTTTAAATCTACGCTACCAACAAAAATGCAATTACGCCTGGGCAGACGAGTATTTTACCTGAAATGATTTTGAATCAATCCCTGTTGAAAAGGTTGCCATGACAATGGCACCTATTGCAATCAGGAACCCCTGAAAATGAGGAAAAAACAGAAGACAACGCTCAGAGAAATATATAGTGGAAAGGAGGCTGAGAGATGAATTCAAAATTTTCATCAATTCTGGGAGACAAAGTTTGCTTGCAACTTTGTTATGGTTTGAGCTAACAAGTACGATATACAGGATTATAATTGCAGAAAATAGCTACCAGTCAAAGCTGGGAAAAAGAATTTCCAACTCTTACAAGTATGGTGGTCCAATCACCATGTCCATCTTTTGGCTTTTCTAGTTTGCATTTTTCATCAGCTGGTTCACTGAAAAGCCATGTGGTAAAACCAGATGTCAGTTTTTTCTTTTATTAATTTCTCAAGGCAACTCTGAAAAATTGCAAAATATGAGGCTAATAATAGAAATGCAGGAAATTACATCAATTTAAAGCATTGATGAATTAGAGTCGTTTGCCCAGAGAAACAATCAAGAATCAATGAAGAAAACAACATTAACTCTAGACCCTAGAGCACCTGGGCATTTGACTCATTGGTTGGTGCACTATCCCCTGTCTAAGGAGCAGGGTTCAAATCTCCCCTCTCCCAATTATAAAAAAAAAAAAAACACTCTGGACCCTGGAATGTCTTCCAACATATTGCAAGTTGGGAATTGATTTGAATTTGATATCCTTAGAACTAGACCTAAATTTTGTTTGATAAAAAAACTAGAGATGCATGTTATAGTAGTTCAAACCTAAAATGTCAGCATTTGGAAAGAAAAACTGGTTTGCATAAAATAGAAGCAACATTGGCAAATCTGAACAAGATAATGCTGCTGAGGTACTAAAGTGACAGTTGAAATTGAGCCCTTACGACACCAGTAGTGACCCTCAAACAATGAAAGTGAGTGACTCCCTCCTTTAATCTTCAACAATAACATAAATTGGACTGTAAAAATGAAAAAAGGATCATAACATATATAGTAGAAGATGTAGAGAAAACTTAGACTTCCTTTAAAGTGACATTTTCAGGAGATGCACTACATTTACAAGATAATCTACCGGCTGAGATATATGCAGTTAAACCAAATTTCAAATATTGCAGATAAGTTTAGCCTTCATAGTGACATTATGATCAAGCACATACTAAGCAATTACTCTTCTTCCTGCTGCCTTTTGAGCCCTTGATCTTAAAGGCAAACACTTATCTATCTAACTATTAAAACACAAGGAGGGCAATATTAGAGCATCGCTATGTTGATCCACAATAGGCACTGAAATAAGGTCATCCATATATCAGTAGATTGTTTTTCATTAGCACTATTAATAGCATGATATAAAATTTTGAAGCAAGAAATACAAGGTAGCTCATATAGGGTGACCTTCAACTCGAAGTATTGCAGCAGGTTAGAATATGGGATGAAGTCCTAACCTTCTAATAGCAGACCAACAGAGGAAAACAACATAAGAAGCCATAATTCCTGAAGACAAAAGACCTCTATTAACCTGCATCAAGTATAAAATGGTAATGCTCTTTATATCAAATCATTTAGATGAATAGAATTTTTAGCATAGAAAAGTCAGTTATTAAATGAAGTTATGAGGCAACATCACAGCAGAAAAAAGAAAATAACACATAAAAGTTCCATAAAAATCATATTTTAGTAGATTTGCATGTTTCATATTGTCACAGGTAGTAGATGATGTTCCACACTGTAAAATGCAAAAAGTTCATCATAGTGATAACATAACCACATGCTCAAAATGCATAAATATGCTTGCAAATCTTTAATGCTAGCCCCTTCCCAAAGTTATATTATCTGCATCATTGGAAAAAGCGCTGAAAAGTCCTCAGAGTTGGCAATAAATGATATTCCAAAGAAACTGATTCCTTGAAAAGCATACCTTTGAATGCAAGGACATAGCCATCATCACTATGAGCAGAATGGCAGTCCATGTAATGAAGAATATGTTGAGAGAACATGCTGGTCTTGGGGCATAAAAATAGTACATAGACACAATTCCACAGATTGAAGCAACATAAAAAATTGTTGAGGTAAATAATGCAAAGAAGCAGCTGCAGACAGACATGAAGATAGTTATACATTAGCAAATGCTTATTCAATTTCAAGAAAATGAAAAAGGCCTAAAAGGTTATCTTATCCATAAATTATATTACAATCATTTTAATTACTTGATAAGATTATGCTTTTAATGCCACATGACCTCGATCCGTGGTTCACTCCAATTCTATAGTCTTAATGATATAAAGCCTTTGTTAGAAGGTAGAAAATACCTTCGTTTCCTTTGCTCATCAGGTGCCCAGTTGTTATTCCACCATCCGATAAACTCAATCACACTTATAAGTTGCAGAAGGAGAAATATCCTATATCACATGAGCAAAAAACTACATATTTACTCTTATACTCAGAAGCTAATATATAAGTAAAAACAAAATTCATTGTCATTGCTGTCAATTTCATTCAGGAGTTTGAAAATGAGACAATAAATTCTTTTGATTACTGATTGAAGCCCTCTTGATGTCCTAATAATTTATTTTGTTATTCTGCCCCAATATAATTAATCAAAACTTTCTATTTCTTCATGCAAGTAATAAGTCCATTCCGGTTTGCCTTGAAACTTACTTTGATTCTGATTCATATATCATTTTGCTGCTGAAAATGAATGATTCAGTATCTATGTAACATGTGAGGCATGCTTTAAGCAATTAGGAGAAGAAAGTATGAAATTATACCAAGCATAGGAGATAGATAACTTTAAATTGTCTTTTCAGATTAATATTGAATCAGAAAGGCAGGTTGCCTTAGGACACTTTAAATGGTCGTAATATTAGATTACAATTTGCGCCATGATGTCAATAAGATTATAGTTGAGCATGATTTCATAAAATGAAGAGCTGTTAATTAAAGGTTGAAAGTATAAAGAATACCCTGCACCAATGCGAGCAACTTCTCCTGCAAGAAGAGAAAATAAGCTCCTTAGTTTATGGTAGAAAGAGCTTTTCTGTAGTTTGTAGATGATAGCTCCTCATGATCTAAATGTTTAAGTTATGGTTAAATTTTCAAGTTCTTAGATTTGGTTTTCAAAGCAAACATACCATATATTTGAATAAAATCTGGAGGGAGGAAGAATGGAACCACAATTGATACAACCAATAGGACAAACTTCAACGCCCACCATCCTGAGTGCCATTTACTGCAAGTTTCAAACAATTTTCTTGTACTAAATGTGGTAAGAAACATGAGAAAGAAAAATATCTGAACTCTATGTCAAGGAACCTGATTTTCAATGATCAGAAAATAAGAATCTAAGTATATGAGTAACAGAACAAGGATAAAACAGTTTCCTAAAACTCAACAGCATTGGTAAGCTCTGGCATTTTGTAAGAAGACTAGGATTCAGGTAGGACTTTTTCTGATGTTACGACTGCTTATAGGGTTCAGACATTTTCTGGACGCAGGAAACTAGCATTATATCCCAAAACCCATTATAAAACTTCAAGGAAGAATGAACAGGAAAGATTGGATTTTTTCCTTTTTCCTGAAGGAGAAAGCAGCATATTATAGGAGAAAAATAATCATGGACAGATGATAAATAAAAGGTCCAAAGAGTGAGATTCCAGCTTCCAATTTCTTAATCCGGAATATAATGACAGAAAGTTGAGAATTTCTTTTGGAAAGATTGAGAAAACTCAAAACAATGTTGAATGAAAGATACAAAACATCCTAAGCTCACACGGAGAACTCCCATTGTGTGAAAACAATCACTTCCACCGACTCCACAAGCTTTTCTATCTGTAAAAAAAAAATATTTGCCATATATAAACATGAAAGAAAAAATAAATAAAGCATGTAAATAATATTTTGTAACCATGTTCATAAGAGGTTTCTTCAACAACTGCACATGTCAATAGCAGATTATGACATTCAAAGGGTACAACAAGGAGTATATGCCCAATAGGACCCACAATTTGAGATTAAAATATATCAATCCTCAAATTGAGGTTGATCTTGGTGAAGAGAGTCATGGCTCTAGAGGTTATGCTTGTTTATGCAATTTCTTTACAAAGGGTCGAAACCAAATGCTAATTTATGAGAACATTCTATTAAACTTTTTGGAGTTCAGAGAGGAATTGACTTACAGTACAGTCGGGGTAAGACACTTTGTCCATAATCACGAATGAACCAGGCAGTAAGATTAATTATGAAGAAGATCAAGCCATAAAAGTATCTGGCTCGGAGTGACTTCTTCCTTTCCGCGGAACAATCCACATTCGTTGGCTCCATTGATGCCTTTACCCGCTGAACAAGCTGAGAGTTGCTTGAACTTATATGTAACACGCTAGCTTCAACTGCTGCAGCAGACCCACTCATATTTCAAGCATTAAAATGTTGTTAACTGAATAGCTCAGTACTTCAATTCTAGACTATGGTCTGTAATATTTCATACACTATAGTAGAATACCATAAGAATTTTTTCTATGAGGAAAAAAGAAAAGGAGGTGCTACTGAATTGGGTAAACCAGAGTGCATATATCTTGTAATGTTGAAAGCTTTCTAAATTGATTTCAAACAACAGAAATATGTACTTTTGGAGTATGGTAGAGAATTGCATTATCCAGAAGTGTATACAGCAGATTTACAGCTTCTTCCAAGATTCAAGAATGTTTTGAATCAGATAAGCATTTAGGAAATGTTGAAATCTTTTAAAGTAAATTTCATCTTTCCATACCGCCACTGTAAATAATGCTTTTCTCTGAAAAACAATGTGAGGTTTAACTTTACATTGGCAATGGTTAGAATACCAGCATTTTCTCACAAAGAACAAAATTCTGAAACCCATTGCTTTATCATCTAACTGTGGACATAGAAGAACACTCAAAACCATGAAAGAAGCTCTCTTGGACGGCCATGATAACAAGGGAATCCAGATGATAATAAATGTAATACAAAAGAAAGAAAATATACACTAAGAAAAAGAGAAAGGTTGAAACTTCAAACCTTTTGCTTCTGGGGCCCGATCCCTGGACTGCAAATCGAGGCTTGACAGTCCCAAGGAGATAAATATAAATGAATCTCCCAGAGCACGCGTTAAAGTAACTAATAAGAAGTGCACCAAACACTCATGAAGAAGCAGTTTTTTTAAAAAAAGGCATTGAATAGCAGCCTACTGACTACCGAATACATACTACATAGCCGTTGCTTCTTTTCAGCCCTTTTTGCATGTTCACTTTTTTTATAATGTAATGATGATATTCTAATCAAACAATATTAACCCAAAGTTTGAAACATAAGCTTCATTGCTTTTCTTTATTGTTATGCTTTGCTTTTTCTTTGTCCATTTTTGACTGTTATATGCAATCTACCATTGTACATACAGCTCATTATCTTGAAGCCTGTAAGTTTCTTTCATTTTCTAACATCGTCTACACAACAAACACAATAGGATTAGTCATGACAACAAGAAATAGTAGTAAACGTGTAAGGGAACAAGTGAGGAAGCATCTTCACTAACGTTTTCACATTATGAACAAGCTAAGTAACTTCCATATTTATCCAAAAAAGGAAAAAGGATTCATTTGGCATATAAACTTCTCTTCTCACTGTTAGTAAACATAAACTTATTTTCATCCTTACCTTAGGATACTATTATCAATTAACTAAGTGTTGATATATGCACTCAAATATTTGATCTTAATGAGCAGGGTTAGAATTTTTCTACTCTCAAATATATATATATATATATATATAAACCTTATTTATATAGGATTGCTATAACCCAAAAATGTTATGAAATGCTTTCTTATTAGGTTAGGAATGGTTTTAAAATTTTAAACAAATTGAAAAAGCTGTAAATAAAGTAAGAATGAAAACATTCTTAAATAAATGTGGGAAGGGGACAGGAGAAATTAAGCTCGTGGGGCAGGAGTCTTCTGACTAATTAAACACCCAAGCATAGCATGGATTATATATTATATTATAACATATTAATAATAATAAAGGGGAGGTGTAAAGGATTAAGGTTTATGATTGTTTGATTATGAAGAGGGAAAAAAGTAAGTATCATGGTTAAGGACAAAAAACGGCGTGACAAAACTCATCATGTCCTTAATTGTCCTCCCCAGATTTTGAGAGAGCGTGTGGGGGCCACCCGCACAGCACCATCACGCGGCGCTCTCATCACCACCATTCACTCCTTTCTAATTTGTAAACCAAGGGGCTTTGGCGCGTTACTCCATTTCTATTTAAATTTCTGTACTTGTGGACATGGCTTCTCCTCTGCTACTCTCTATTGTGGTTTCTCTTGCTCCCAAATGTTTTGTTGGATTTGGGCAGGAAAGAAATCAATCCTAAACCAACAAGTTAACTAATGACAGCAGTTTGTGGTCAGACCTGAACTTGACTTAATCATGTTATCAAGTTTTTAAGTCTCATCACTGTTGTACATTACCCTTTTCCTTGTAAAAATATTATGGTGAGTTGGCCTTTCACTAAGAGAGACTGTTTCCTAAAACTCAAGAAGTCTTTCTAGGCGTTAATAATAATCGGGTTTAGGTTTGTCTTTGTTAATAGTTGAGTGGGGAATATGTATGATCAAGTCCTAGAAAGGGATAGGATTAGGAATAAGATTGGGTTAGGTATAGATAGGCAGGAATGCTAAGGGAGGGTATTAATTATGTTATATTAACTTAAAATGTTGAGTATGAGTGAGTGTGTTATGTTTTTGTAATTTTTTATATTAATTTTTATTTAGAATAAATAAAACAACTGGAATATATATATATATATATAAACTTATTCTGTAAAGAAAAGATATTTATTTTTTCAATTCTACATTAATTTTATTTTTTAAAAAATATATAAAACGAAATTTCAAGGCTCAATTCAAACATTTTCAACTTCTACCATTGTGGAACGCCGACGTTTAGACTCGCATCAACGAGGTTGGTCCCATCTTCGTAATTAACTGATGACGGTAAGGCTAAATATGTCATTCGGTGGATTGAAAGTAACCCGATTTGAGCTTCTAGGGCTTCAAGTTCGTTACACCAGTGGCGGGAAGAAAATCTGGGAAATTTCCCATCGAAACTCAACTGCCAAAACTCTAAAACCCTAAATCCCTAAAATGTCCTTCATCGATGAATTTCAAGCTGGTAACTTTTCCCTTTTCTAATTCTCTCCTTTTTCTTTTCTAATTTAATTTCTTTTGTTTCTTATTTTTAATTTTTTTTTGTAAAAAACCTAATTTAAAACTCCCTGCTATGAGATGCTAATTAATTTAATTTTTAAATTATTTTTATTAAAATTTTACAGATTTGGAAGCATTGCCCAATATTCTTCAGAAAAAGTATGCGTTGATGCGTGATCTTGACAAAAGTTTACAAGGTGTTCCTTTACTCGTTAATTTTTAATTCTTTTGGAATTCATTTGAAATTTGTAATTTTTCTTTGTTAACAATCCAACGAAAAAAAAAATTAACGTCAAACATATTAAATTCAAAATCAACAATTGATATGAAATCCCATTTTAATTCAGTTCGAAATACTACCTTTTGTTGCTTTTGTGAACAGCAATTGTGAGGCAAAATGAACAACGCTGTGAACAAGAAATAGAGGATATAAGACGAGGGGTCAGGGCTGGAAACATTACACCAGATACTTCACTTCTTAGATTTTCAGACGAGGCACTTGACGAACAAAAGCATAGCATTAGGATTGCGGATGAAAAGGTTGCCTTGGCAATTCAGGCATATGATTTAGTGCGTGGTTTTTCCTCAGAACTCCAATATTTGATTCAGTGCATGTATTTATCTGATGCATTTGCCATAACTATGATGGAGAATTCCTATTGCCTTTTGATTCTTGGCTTGCATTTTTGCTGTTCTATGGCAGTGCTGTAGTGGAGAAAATTGTAAGTATTCAATGCTGTTAGATTCTTTTCGCATTGGCAACCTTAGGAGATAGAGGTGGGGTTTCTACCATCTTTTAATTGGGTGCATGTTTTTGTGGTTAACACTTAAAAAGTCTGTAGGCTATGGTGTTTTCTGTGTGGTCTTACTTTGTCACATGGATCAGTGACCAAAGAGTTACAAATACAAAGTCATATCAATAACATGGTTGATGGTTTTCTTTCTCATGAAGTAAATATTTGTATCATTCCTTTGTGGAAAGAATTCAAAGTTGATTGGTTTTGTTTTTAATATGATTGCCAAATTGATATTACCTTTAAGTTGACCATATTTGTATGAAGTCCTCCCCCTTGTAACGGAAAGCATATTAAAATTTCAATGCTGGATGGAACTAGCTTTTCATCCTTATCACTTAAATCTGTTTATGATGTAATCATGTTTCAGGTTGATTCACATATACAGCAACTTGATCAATATTTGAAAAAGTCTGATGAAGAGCTACGGCGTGGTATGTTGCTGAATTTCCACTTCCACTGCTATTTAGTGCATCCTTTTTTTGCTTTTAAGCCCCTCCACCTTTACTGCAATTTTTAAATCGTACCTGTAATATGTTTTTTTGGCAGAAAGAGAGAATGCTGCTGCTACTGCATCCTCTGGTCCAAGTCATGATGGTACCACTAAATCTGGAAGGCCTAGTGAAAGTGGAAGAGGAGGGCGTAAAAAGTATGCACTTATCATGCATAACCTCATTTATGGTTTCCTTGTAGGTTGTTCAATGGACATCCAGTTTTGATTCCTACGTCTGAGGAGGCTCTTTTTTGAATATTAATTTATCAATATAATATGACTGGTATTTGCTAAAACTACTTATAACAGTATGAAACATATTCTAGTGTAAAGGATTGTATTTTTCCTTTTTCAGAAGGAGCAGAATTTTGAGTTTGGAAAAAACCATACTGAGAAAAAAAAAATCTCATATTCCTTCCATTACATGCAACATATGTTTCACTAGTATGTATGATATCATTTGAACCACATATTTCCGCAGAACACGTCTGGCAACAGCAGCAGCAGCCGCGGCAGCTGCTGCGGCTACTGAAGTGGTGGCAGCAGCAGCAAATCCAACTGGTATGGAACTAGACTTGCCAGTGGATCCTAATGAGCCCACTTACTGTTTGTGCAACCAAGTTAGCTATGGAGAGATGGTTGCATGTGATAACCCTGATGTATGTAACTAAATTCTTTATATATTTTCTCTGAAACTATTTCTGTTTGCACTCCCCGTTTTTGATCTGATGAAACTCTTTGCTCCTTTTCACAGTGCAAGATAGAATGGTTCCACTTTGGCTGTGTTGGTCTGAAAGAACAGCCAAAAGGGAAATGGTATTGTTCAGATTGTGCAGCACTGAGAAATCGTCGTAAAGGCAGGGGATGATAAATGTTTTCTTGTCTGGAAAGTGTGCTACTGCATTTGGACAGCCGTCATGTTAAAGCTAACGTTTTACAGCTACATAATCATGCTGTTAACATTTTCAATTGCATGCTTCTTTGATTGTATCTCTCTCTTGTTCTAGTAACCTTTGTCTTTAACTATTTTAGCTGTGCCATATAGCTATTTGGATGCTTGTACCATTTTGTTTAAGAGTATTTTGCTTGAGATCCAGGCTGTAAATAAATTCTTCTAATTGTTTAGAGTGTTGATTCGCATTGAAGATAATGCTTTGGTATTTTGCTGTTGGCCAGTTAAAGTCTAATAAACATTGTTGTATTTAGATAAGTTTTACCACAAACCATCTCTCTTTGGTTTCACGCTGCAGACAAAAAACATTGAGGGTTCAGTATGAAGTTGAGTGTTAAGACCTAGGTCTAGGGTGCTATTGTTGGTGCATTAACCGACTTGGTAACTGTGTTCTTTTTGTCCCTTTTGATAGGATAGACACTGGCCGTCTAAAGTTTAAAGCAGAACTTTATCTGAGTCACAAGGCTTCTTAGAACCCAGCTCATGAGTTTTCCGGCATTCAGTTGTAACAATAGCGTCAAGGTGTGCCTCACCAGGTTAAGTAAACAAGTATAGCTGGAACAACTGCAGTAGCATCAAGGATTGAGTAAACTACAACATGGATCCCAATGAAACCAGGAACAAAAGGGCCAAGCACTTTATGGTTTGATGGTAATCAGCCACTTGCAGCAGTCACTTAAAATCCTATGCGTTTGAATGGATAATGAATGCTTGAGTCACTGATAAACACCCTAAATAGTTCTTGGGAGGCAACAAGGGCTGCAAGCTTCTGATGTTAGCTTTCCGTGCAGGGTATATAATCTGTTAACTTGTCTATTTTCATCCAGAACGTGAAGTCACTGATTAACTTGCTTTGCTTGCTCAAGCAAAGCAGCAAAGGAAAAGGGAAACTGAAAAATGAGTATCAAGGTCGGGCCACTTAGCACTAACCGCTAGAGGAGTTCTTGACTTCTGTGTCAGCTAATTTTATTGAAGTGAGCTCTTTCACGCAATGTTCCGTCGAAGCTCATGTTGTTTTGATCTTTTGGCAGTCTTTCCCACATGATACCGAGAAAAAGGGAGATAAGAACACTAAACAAAAATTCATTGCAAGTGCTTACATCAATCACACTCAACAGCTTAAGGAAGACTTGTCTTTTTTCTTTTCTTTTTTTCATTTTCCAAAAAGGCATGCTCCATGCAAGCCAGTTCTTACTATAAGCAGAGATGGTTTTGTCCTTGATCACCAAAACTACCTCGACTTGCTTTTCCATTATACTTGCACAGATGCCTTTCAATTGAAACAATTAGAGACTTAAAATTAACAAATTAATACATGCAGAAAGTATGTACAACCATAACTGAAAATCAAAAGAATTGATAAATATAAATCCTCTCAAACGGAATTAATGACCTAAAATAACCCTATTAGACTTTTGAAAGGGATTATAGACAGATTTTCATCATTGCCGATGCAGGAAACCATTTCTTCCTTTCATATATACCTATCCAGAAATTTTTTATATGCAAAACAACTCAAATTCCTTGATAATTTCCCAAGTGATCACAACTTGCATACCAGTCCAGGTATATGGTTAGAACAAAATCAAACCATTGTGCATAACATAAACAAAATAATTCGAGAAACTTGTTTGGCTTGATAGTTTCCGGCTGCAATCAACTATTTACAAACGGCCAGACCTTGCAAGGCAAAATTTCAAGTCAGTATTCCTTCAGTGCTTTCCATAGATATAATAGCTGTGGTCTATAGCCTCTGTACAACAAAATCCATGGAATCATCCCAATTTGAACAAGAAGGCTGCGATACACGACCAGAGTTCCAGTCCCACAATCTCGCAAACAAAGTAAAACACATTTGACTTCTTGTTCTTTTCATGCCAGCACTCATTATCTACACACTCTACTGAGTTAGGAATGTTCATCCTCATCTTACCAATTCAAATCAATCACACCGATGAATCTTAGTCATGAGTTCTCCGGTAATCTCTGGAATTGATGATTTATGCACTGAAAATCCAAGGCTATGTACAAAATTTTACCAGCCTTCCCAGAAGAAGAATGCCACTCACCAATGGCATAAGATACTCCAGAGTACAGCTTATAATGCTTTTAGTGTATTTGATACATTCAAGAAAACGAACCAAGGCTAGAGCTCACCAATGGCAACTCTCTCACTATCCATAACAAAAAAGTTAGTTCAAAATATTGAAACATGAGTGTATTACAACCCAAATATAGAAATCAACCAAAACCCTTATTCTTGCAATCCACATTTTGACCAAAACCAAAAACCAAAATGATTCCAGAATTGGACAAAAACCAATTAAACACTATTCCTTTTTCATTTGGAAAAACATCATCCAACCAACCAAAACACACTAAAGTCAAAATTTCCCTAAAGGACTTTCAACTTCATCAAAAACAAAAATCAAAATAAAAATAGTAACTTTCACTAATCCAATCTAGCCCCATTACAACCAAACTCCTAATTCACTCCTACAGTTACTACACTAACTTAAAAATAAAAAAAAAAACCCAAAATTGAAAAAAAAA